TGGAGTAACTGGGGGTGGGGATGCTTCTCTTCCAGCCTCCCCCAAGCATCCCCGTGTCCCGATGGTGGTGTTTGACCCCATGGAATGATGGCCAACCCTCAACTTGACATTTCCCCCCCCCTCCTCCTCTCCCTTAAGGACGTTGTGATAACTGTCCCCGGAGCCGTTTGCCTTTCTTATCGGGGACGGTGGCCAAACAAGCCTGGCCAGGATATAAGGAGCTGGGGCCAGGACCCGTGGTGTACCTGGTGTGTCCCTTCGCCTCAGTTGTTGGCCGGTAGAAGACACCATGAAGGTGGTCCTGCTCCTTGCCTTGGTGGCCATGGCCCACGGACTCGGCTACAGGTGAGCCACGGAGGGTGTTGAGGTGGCCACGAGGCCACCACGGGTCCTGAGGAACCCCTAGCATCCATACTGGGGGAGGTAGGACCAGGTTGGATGGGGCTTGGAGCAATCTGGTCTACTAAGGAGGTGTCCCTGCCTATGGAACTAGATGGTCTTTAAGGTCCCTTCCAACCCAAACCATTCCCAGCAGGGATAGAGGGGGACAACCTCCAGTCCCCTCCCCACCAAGCCATCCCCGTGGCCCCTGGGTCCAAGAGATGGGGCGAGCACTACTCGCTGCCCACTCCCCGGTGATGGATTGTCCCCTCCTTGTCCCCAGGGTCCCTCTGAAGAAGATGAAGTCCCTGCGGCAGACGCTGAGGGAGCAGGGCTTGCTGGAGACCTACCTGAAGCAGCACCACTTCAACCTGGCCTCCAAGTACTTCCCCGCCCGCATCAACGCCGAGCCCCTGCAGAACTACCTGGACGTGAGCGTGGCGGGGTTGGGGGGCTGGCAACTGGGGGGGCTGCCCCCTTACCTGTCCTCTTAGCCCCTTACCCAAGCCACTAGCCCCTTACCCTTCCCCTTAGCCCCTTACCTGACCCGTTAGCCCCTTACCCTTCCTCCTAAGCCCTTGCCCTTCCCCCTAGCCCCTTAATGCCTTGTCTGACCCACTAGCCCCTTGCCCATCCTTCTAGCCCTTTACCTGACCCACTAGCCCTTACTCATCCCCTTAACCCCTTGCTTGACCCACTAGCCCCTTCCCTGACTCCCTAGTCTCTTACCCTTCTCCCTAGCCCCTTACCTGACTCACTAGCCCCTTGCCCATCCTTCTAGCCCTTTACCTGACCTGCTAGCCCTTACCCATCCTCTTAACCCTTTACCTGATCCCCTAGCCCCTTACTTGACCCACTAGCCCCTTACCTGACCCATTAGTCCCTTACCTGACTCACTAGCCCCTTACCTATCCCCCTAACCCCTCACCTGACCCACTAGCCCCTTACCTGACCCACTAGCCCCTCATCTGACTCCCTAGTCCCTTACTCTTCTCCCTAGCCCCTTGCCTGAATCACTAGCCCCTTACTTACACCACTAGCCCCTAACCTATCCCCCTAACCCCTCACCTGACTCCCTAGTCCCTTACCCTTCTCCCTAGCCCCTTGCCTGAGTCACTAGCCCCTCACCTGATTCCCTAGTCTCTTACCCTTCTCCCTAGCCCCTTACCTGACCCACTAGCCCCTTACCTCCACCACTAGCCCCTTACATATCCCCCTAACCCCTCACCTGACCCACTAGCCCCTTACCTGACCTCCTAACCCCTTGGCCATCCTCCTAGCCCTTTACCTGACCCACTAGCCCTTACTCATCTCCTTAACCCCTTGTCTGACCCATTAGCCCCTTACCAGACTCCCTAGTCTCTTACCCTTCTCCCTAGCCCCTTACCTGACTCACTAGCCCCTTACCCATCCTTCTAGTCCTTTAGCTGACCCACTAGACCTTACTCATCCCCTTAACCCCTTACCTGATCCCCTAGCCCCTTACTTGACCCACTAGCCCCTTACTTGACTCCCTAGTCTCTTACCCTTCTCCCTAGCCCCTTACCTGACTCACTAGCCCCTTACTTGACTCACTAGCCCCTTACCTATCCCCCTAACCCCTCACCTGACCCACTAGCCCCTCACCCTTCTCCCTAGCCCCTTACTTGACTCACTAGCACCTTACCTATCCCCCAACCCCTCACCTGACCCACTAGCCCCTTACCTGACCCACTAGCCCCTCATCTGACTCCCTAGTCCCTTACTCTTCTCCCTAGCCCCTTGCCTGAATCACTAGCCCCTTACTTACACCACTAGCCCCTAACCTATCCCCCTAACCCCTCACCTGACTCCCTAGTCCCTTACCCTTCTCCCTAGCCCCTTGCCTGAGTCACTAGCCCCTCACCTGATTCCCTAGTCTCTTACCCTTCTCCCTAGCCCCTTACCTGACCCACTAGCCCCTTACCTCCACCACTAGCCCCTTACATATCCCCCTAACCCCTCACCTGACCCACTAGCCCCTTACCTGACCTCCTAACCCCTTGGCCATCCTCCTAGCCCTTTACCTGACCCACTAGCCCTTACTCATCCCCTTAACCCCTTGCTTGACCCACTAGCCCCTTCCCTGACTCCCTAGTCTCTTACCCTTCTCCCTAGCCCCTTACCTGACTCACTAGCCCCTTGCCCATCCTTCTAGCCCTTTACCTGACCTGCTAGCCCTTACCCATCCTCTTAACCCTTTACCTGATCCCCTAGCCCCTTACTTGACCCACTAGCCCCTTACCTGACCCATTAGTCCCTTACCTGACTCACTAGCCCCTTACCTATCCCCCTAACCCCTCACCTGACCCACTAGCCCCTTACCTGACCCACTAGCCCCTCATCTGACTCCCTAGTCCCTTACTCTTCTCCCTAGCCCCTTGCCTGAATCACTAGCCCCTTACTTACACCACTAGCCCCTAACCTATCCCCCTAACCCCTCACCTGACTCCCTAGTCCCTTACCCTTCTCCCTAGCCCCTTGCCTGAGTCACTAGCCCCTCACCTGATTCCCTAGTCTCTTACCCTTCTCCCTAGCCCCTTACCTGACCCACTAGCCCCTTACCTCCACCACTAGCCCCTTACATATCCCCCTAACCCCTCACCTGACCCACTAGCCCCTTACCTGACCTCCTAACCCCTTGGCCATCCTCCTAGCCCTTTACCTGACCCACTAGCCCTTACTCATCTCCTTAACCCCTTGTCTGACCCATTAGCCCCTTACCAGACTCCCTAGTCTCTTACCCTTCTCCCTAGCCCCTTACCTGACTCACTAGCCCCTTACCCATCCTTCTAGTCCTTTAGCTGACCCACTAGACCTTACTCATCCCCTTAACCCCTTACCTGATCCCCTAGCCCCTTACTTGACCCACTAGCCCCTTACTTGACTCCCTAGTCTCTTACCCTTCTCCCTAGCCCCTTACCTGACTCACTAGCCCCTTACTTGACTCACTAGCCCCTTACCTATCCCCCTAACCCCTCACCTGACCCACTAGCCCCTCACCCTTCTCCCTAGCCCCTTACTTGACTCACTAGCACCTTACCTATCCCCCAACCCCTCACCTGACCCACTAGCCCCTTACCTGACCCACTAGCCCCTCATCTGACTCCCTAGTCCCTTACTCTTCTCCCTAGCCCCTTGCCTGAATCACTAGCCCCTTACTTACACCACTAGCCCCTAACCTATCCCCCTAACCCCTCACCTGACTCCCTAGTCCCTTACCCTTCTCCCTAGCCCCTTGCCTGAGTCACTAGCCCCTCACCTGATTCCCTAGTCTCTTACCCTTCTCCCTAGCCCCTTACCTGACCCACTAGCCCCTTACCTCCACCACTAGCCCCTTACATATCCCCCTAACCCCTCACCTGACCCACTAGCCCCTTACCTGACCTCCTAACCCCTTGGCCATCCTCCTAGCCCTTTACCTGACCCACTAGCCCTTACTCATCTCCTTAACCCCTTGTCTGACCCATTAGCCCCTTACCAGACTCCCTAGTCTCTTACCCTTCTCCCTAGCCCCTTACCTGACTCACTAGCCCCTTACCCATCCTTCTAGTCCTTTAGCTGACCCACTAGACCTTACTCATCCCCTTAACCCCTTACCTGATCCCCTAGCCCCTTACTTGACCCACTAGCCCCTTACTTGACTCCCTAGTCTCTTACCCTTCTCCCTAGCCCCTTACCTGACTCACTAGCCCCTTACTTGACTCACTAGCCCCTTACCTATCCCCCTAACCCCTCACCTGACCCACTAGCCCCTCACCCTTCTCCCTAGCCCCTTACTTGACTCACTAGCACCTTACCTATCCCCCAACCCCTCACCTGACCCACTAGCCCCTTACCTGACCTCCTAACCCCTTAGCCATCCTCCTAGCCCTTTACCTGACCCACTAGCCCCTTACCCTTCCCCCTGCTCCTTACCCGTCCCCCTAAGCCCCTACCTGACCCACTAGCCCCTTAACTGACCCCCTAGCCCCTTACCCAACCCACTAGCCCCTTGCCCTTCCCCCTTACCCTTTCCCCTAGCCCTTCCCCATTCCTCTAATCCCTTCTTTACCTGACCTGCTAGTCCCTCACCCACCCCACTAGCCAATTATGTGTCCCACTAGCCCCTTACCCGTCCCGTTTTGACAGAATGAGTACTTTGGCACCATCTCCATCGGGACCCCAGCCCAGGAGTTCACCGTTGTCTTTGACACCGGCTCCTCCAACCTGTGGGTGCCCTCGGTCTACTGCTCCAGCCCTGCCTGCAGTAGGTGTTTGGTAGCCCCCGTGGCCACCAAGTGAGGGACGAAGGCAGGGAAAGCCCTGGGCTTGGTGAACCCATGGTGGGGCTGGGAGCTGAGAACGGCTCCACCTTGTCCCTCCCAAGGGATATGGGGTGATGGGGGACCACTGGAGGGTCACCCTTTGTCCCTGGGGACAGGATGGACCATGACCACCTCCCTCCTGTGCCCTCAGCCACCCACAACCGCTTCAACCCAGCCCAATCCTCCACCTTCATCGGCACCAACGAGAGCCTCTACATCGCCTACGGCACCGGCAGCATGTACGGCGTCCTGGGCTACGACACCGTCACCGTAAGCCAGGGCCACACCGGTGTCCCCCCTCCCACAATCCCACAGGAGCAGGGACACGGGGACATCATCCACCCAAACCCACCACTCCCTTTTCCCAACCAGGTCGCCAACATCGAGGTCCTCAATCAGATCTTCGGGCTGGCCGAGAGTGAGCCCGGGGCTTTCTTCTACTACACCCCCTTCGATGGCATCCTGGGGTTGGCGTTCCCCAGCATCGCCTCTTCTGGGGCCACCCCTGTCTTTGACAACATGATGATGCAAAACCTGGTGGCCGAGAACCTCTTCTCCGTCTACCTGAGCAAGTAAGTCCTGGCTGGACCCCCCCCACCAGCCTTTAACCCAGGATTCACACAGATTCAACAGAGTTGGAAGGGACCTTCTAGAGATCTTCTAGTCCAACCCCCCAGCCAAAGCAGGGTTGCCCAGAGCACATCACTCAGGAGCATCCAGGCGGGGCTTGAAGATCTCCAGGGAAGGGGACTCCACACCCTCCCTGGGCAGCCTGTTCCAGGGCTCTGCCACCCTCACCATAAAGTTCTTCCTCATTTTTGAGTGCAACTTCCCATCTTCCAGCTTGTGCCCATTGCCTCTCGTCCTGTCACTGGAAACCACTGGAGAGAGTCCAGCTCCATCCTCCTTCAACCCTCCCTTTAGGAACTTGTAAACATAGATGAGGTCTCCCCTCAGCCTTCTCTTCTCCAGGCTAAAGAGCCCCAACTCTCTCAGCCTTTCCTCATCAGGGAGATGCTCCAATCCCTCCATCATCTTTGTTGCCCTACGCTGGACTCTCTCCAGCAGTTCCCTGTCCCTCTTGAACTGGGGAGCCCAGAACTGGAGGCAGGATTCCAGTTGTGGCCTCCCCAGTGCAGAGCAGAGGGGCAAAACGACCTCCCTCGACCTACTGGCCACACTCTTCCCTACACAGCCCAGGGTTCCATTGCCCTCTTGGCCACAAGGACACATTGCTGGCTCCTGGAGATCCTACCATCCACCAGGACTCCCAGATCCTTCTCCTCAGTAGTACTTCCCAGAAGATCCACCCCTAACCTCTATTGGTGCCTGGGGTTCTTCCTCCCCAGGTGCAGGACCTTCCATTTGTCCTTGTTGAACCTCATGAGGTTCTTCTCTGCCCAGCTCTCCAGGTCATGCTGGATGGTGGCACAGCCCTCTGGAGTGTTGGCCAGCCCTCCCAGTTTGGTGTCATCAGAGAACTTGCTGATGATTTTCTCCCCTTTTTCCCCTCCCCTCTGAGCCTGACGCCCCGTGGCTCCTTGGGGACGCGGCTTCAGCCCCAATGGTGGAGGGTGCCAGCAAAGTGACAGTTGGTGGGGTGGGACTGCCCCACCTGATGGCTCTGTCCTCGCAGGGAAGGGCAGAGTGGCAGCTTCATCCTCTTCGGTGCCATCGACCCCTTCTACACCACCAACGGCATCTCCTGGATCCCGCTCTCCGCCGAAACCTACTGGCAAATCACCATGAACAGGTTGGGTGGCTACCATTTTGCCCTTCGGTGGGGTGGTTTTGGGGAGGTGCAGCCCCTCATTTCACCCCACAACCCTTCTCCCCAGCGTCTCCATCGGCGGCAAGGCCATCGCCTGCGCCTTCGGCTGCCAGGCCATCGTGGACACGGGCACCTCGCTGCTGGCCGTCCCCGAGAGAGCCCTGGGCACCATCCTCAGCGTCCTCGGCGCCAACTCCAGGGGCCAGGTGAGGTCCCAGGGGACCACGTAGGGCTTTGGGGGGAGTTTACCCATCCCCATCGCTCCCTGGGGTCTCTCTTGGGGTGGCTGTTGACTGCCACTTGCCCCCGTGTCCCCATCCTCTCCCAGATCAGCTGCAGCGCTGCCCGCAGACTGCCCAACATCGTCTTCCACATCAACGGCAAAGCCTTCCCAGTGCCTCCCAGTGCCTACGTGATAGAGGTGAGCATCCAAGCTGGGTGGCAGTGTTGATCTGCTGGAGGGTAGAGAGGCTCTGCAGAGAGATCTCGACAGGCTGGATCGATGGGCCGAGACCAACAGGATGAGGTTCAACAAGGCCAAGTGCCAAGTCCTGCACTTTGGTCACACCAACCCCCTGCAGCGCTACAGGCTGGGGGAAGTGTGGCTGGAGCTGCCTGGCAGAAAAGGACCTGGGGGTGTTGGTCGCCTGTCGGCTGAACAGGAGCCAGCAGTGTGCCCAGGTGGCCAAGAAGGCCAACAGCATCCTGGCCCGGGTCAGGAACAGCGTGGGGAGTAGGGCCCGAGAGGTGATTGTCCCCCTGTACTGGGCACTGGTGAGGCCCCACCTCGAGTGCTGTGTCCAGTTTTGGGCCCCCTACCATAAAAAAGACATTGAGGTGCTGGAGCGGGTCCAGAGAAGGGCAACGGAGCTGGTGAGGGGTCTGGAGCACAAGTCTTATGAGGAGAGGCTGAGGGAGCTGGGGGTGTTCAGCCTGGAGAAGAGGAGACTGAGGGGAGACCTTATCACTCTGTACAAGTACCTGAAAGGAGGCTGTAGAGAGACGGGGGTCGGTCTCTTCTTCCAAGTTACAGATGATAGGACAAGGGGTAATGGCTTCAAGTTGTGCCAGGGGAAGTTCAGGTTGGATATTAGGAAACATTTCTTTACTGAAAGGGTTATCCAGCACTGGAATGGGCTGCCCAGGGAGGTGGTGGAGTCACCATCCCTGGAGGTATTTAAGAAACGTGTAGACATGGTTCTTCAGGGCATGCTCTAGTGCCCAAGATTACTGGTTTGTGGTGGGGTGCTGTGTGGGTGGGTGATGGTTTTTGGTGTTTCTTGGTTTTTTTGTTTTGTTTTTTTTTTGTTTTTTTGTGGTTGGACTCGATGATCTCTGAGGTCCCTTCCAACCACTACGATTCTGTGATTCTGTGATCCCACCACGGGGAGAGGGCTGGTGGGGCTCAGGGGCGTGGGGAAGGGGGGTGTCTGGCAACTGGTAGCCACCGTCCCCCGTGTCCCCGCTGCAGAACAATGGGTCCTGCGACCTCGGCTTCCAAGGCATGGATGTCCCCACCGAGTCGGGCGAGCTCTGGATCCTCGGGGACGTCTTCATCCGCGAGTACTACGTCATCTTCAACAGGGCCACCAACATGGTGGGGTTGTCCCGCCTGCCCTGAGCATGCCACCACGCTGGGGACAGGGACGAGCAGCCCACCTCGCTGTCCTTGGTGGCCCCAGCCCGGTGGCTGGCAGGGCTGGCCCTTGCCCAGCGCTCCTGTCCCCTCTGGTCATGGCCACCGAGCACAATAAAGGTGTGGAGAAGCCCCCCTTGTGCCGTGTCCCTCTGGGAAGGGCTGGCACGGCCACCCCGGGGCTGCCACCACATCCCTGGGCATGGCCAGAGGACACTGGTGGGTGGGCAGAGGGGGTATCACCTTATCCCACCTCCTGGTGGTGGCCTCAGCCCCACAGATCTAGGGGTGGAGGTACCCACAGCCACTAAGAGCTCTGGGTTGCCCAGGGGGGCTTTATCCAGGGGGACAGTGCTTGTCACTATGTACAGGTGGCCCAGGGCCACTGCTTTCTGTCCCCACACCAGCCCAGGGCACAGCATCCAATGCCCACCTGGTCCCATCCTGGTGCTGGGGGGCTTTGTGCCACTAATGACCACCTCTCCCTGCTGGGGGCCACCTGGAGAACCCCCCCATGATACTACCAGGAGCCACGGACCCTTATTGTCACCATCTCCCTGGATAGGGCCGTGCTCCAGGTGCCCCTTCCTGGGGCAGCACCAGCCTCTGCCCCCCCAGATGCTTCCCAGGACATTTACTCAGGGAAAGTCTCGACCAGGAGCAGCCAAAATTAGCCAAAACCACCCCAAAACCAGGAGCAGGGGGACAGGGAGTAAATACCAGGGTGACTTTATTGGTGGCAGGGAGGGCAGGTGGCCCCCTCCCCATGGTAGCCACCCCAGGGGGTGCGTGCCACGGTTGGGGGGGCTGGCACAGGGCACCCCAGGAGCATCTCCCAGCCCCACATCCTGCACCCAGAGGGATTGGGGGGGTGTGGGGAGGGGGGGGGACTGGTCCTGCCCCACAGTCCTGCCTCAGTGGGGCAGACGGGGACCTCAAGAGAGAGGCGGTGGCCATGGACCCGTAGGAGGGGGGATGCTGTTGCCCACCCCATCTGCTTGCCACCCCCCAGCCCCACCGGGGGCCTGGTGGGCCAGGCCTGCTGGTCCTGCAGGATCCCCTCTTCCTCTCCCTTTCTTCATCCTCCTCCTCTTCTTCACCATCCATCCCTAGGGAGCCCCAGTGGGGCTCTCCCTGCTGGCCCGTGGCACAGAAGAGGGGGCCGTGTCCCCGGGGGGTCCCTGAGCCTCGGGGCTGGGGCTGCCTGTGGGATCTGGGGGGGCTTCAGCCTCAGAGGAGGGCGTGTTGGGGGGCAGAGGAGCTGCCCCTGGGTGCCCGGGGGGGCTCAGTGTGGTCGGAGGGTTCTTGGGGGGGTTCAGTGTGGTCGGAGGGTGCTCAGGGGGGCTCAATGTGTTTGGAGGGGGCTCCCCAGCTCCCCAACTCCCCGGAGAGGGGTTGAGGGGGGCTGTGTTGGGGAGCAGGAGCTGGGCCAGGCGGTGGCGGGGGGGCCGGGGGGATGCTGGGGGGCGCGGGGGGCCAAGGGGTGACTC